AGCACAAAGTGGTTGTGACCCCAGGAAACCACAGTGACTTTGGCTCTGATTCAGCTGACATGCTCGAGACTAGCCACAGATTACCAGAAAGCAGCTGAGGAAGGGTTAGAATTTCCCTGGCAGAGACATTCCAGGAGTCTGACTCCAGGGAAGAGTCTTTCTTCCCGGGGTGCTGTGGGGCCCCACAGAGGCTCCGCTCTAGGCCGCCAGCCCTCACCCTGCTGTCACCACCCTCACTTCTTCTTTGGTTTAGCAGAAACAGATTTAAAGCACCTGAAGTGCTGCAGAATGGTCCTGTTGACAGTTTTAAGTTGCTTTGTGGTTTGTCTCAGCAGCCACACTGCCTGGAAACAAAGTCGGAGGCTCTGATTCTGTCTGTGTATGTGGAACATCAGGAGGGAGGCAAAGGGTTAACTGAAAAGCCAGAGGGACTGCAACTATAAATCACACCCGAGAGAAAGAATGAGGGGACTCTGGAGCAAGAGCTACAGCTTTACCTCCCTGCCACCCTTTGGCTTTGGACGCTCTCTTCCCTTCAAGGTGGACCACCAGTTGGAATTGGCCAGCTGGTAAAGAGAAAACTGTGTCCATGTGGTTTCAAATCAAGTACCTGAGGATCCAAGGGGCAGAGCAGATTAGGTCTGGAATGGGTCCACCAAGTGATGGGATTGTCACCCAACATTTATTGAGCACCTACTCTGCACTAACCTGTGAATTAGGTTCTGGGGCTATAAATGTCAACTCAGATATGGTGCTGGCAGAGGAGGAGCTCAGAGGTTCACAGAGAGGAAAGAACACAGACCCTTTTGTTTTACTGCTTTTGCTGCCAACAGCTCTAGAGGAACAGGCAGGCAGAGGCAAAACACCAAACATGGAGAAGTTAGGATAATTTCACCAAAGTGGTGTGGACAACACACCCTCAGGCTTCAGACCTGTCCTGGGGTGATGCCAGGCCTGAGAGGTCCTGGACAAGTTCTTTAACTTCTGTGCCATGTGGTTTCCAAGTCTATGAGATAGGATTTAAAATTGCTTTTTTCAAGGGCATTGTGTGGGTTAAATAGATGATGCTGTATACATGAAGAATATCCCATTTCCTAAACTTAAAACACATTTCACCAAACGTGGAAACACTGAGTACACTGTGGTGTTTCACCTAACAAAGCAACTTGCACCTTTTTCATTGCATTAAATATATTGCTATTGTACGTAGGTTCCTGTTAATAAACTTACTTACTTATTCAGTAACTTTTCAACATTAGGGTTGTTTCCAATTTTGACTATTTCAAAAAAACTGTGTGCTGGGGTTGTGGCTCAGTGGTAGAGTGCTTGCCTAGCTTGTGCGAAGCCCTGGGTTCAGTCCTTAGAACCAAATAAAAATAAATAAATAAAATAAAGGTATTGTGTTCAACTACAACTAAAAAATAAATATTAAAAAAAAAAGCTGATAGGAGACATGTGATGGTTCATAAGAAGGGATTTTTAGAAGTGTTTTTTGTCCAACCAAAATTTATGTATGTTTTTAAGGATTTTCATAAGTATTTTAAAATCCCCCTTCAGAAAAGCAGGCCAATAGGACCCTCAATAACAGTGATTATAAACCCTCTTCTCCATATCCTGACCAGTAAAAGTGGGCCCGAAAAATGGATACAGGGTAGGAGAAATATAGCTCCATGGTAGAGTGCTTGCCCAAGCTTGTGCAAGGCCCTAGGTTCCTCAGCAATGTAAAATTAGTCAATTAATCCTGGTCATAGCATTGCTGGCACTCCATAAGACACCAGGTCCTGCTCACAGGTGCTAAACAAGAGCTTTCATAGTTTGGTCATTGAGACTTACATGTAGAACCTCTTACTTACCCAACTGCATTTCATCTTCTTTGATTAACTCATTTTCTCTGCTTTTTTGAATCTTCTTGGATTTTGATTCTTCCATCCAAACTATTTAATATTACTCTCTCCCCTAGTTCTGTTTTATCCAGAAATTCAATCAGCCGGTACTCTCTGTTTTCATTCAACTCATTTATAAAAATGTTACCTGGGGAAAGATTTAGAGTAAAGCTCTGAGGCATGTTGCCACCTCCAGGTTGATATCCACCATTAACTAACACCTTTCAGTGCCAGAAACTCAGCCAGCTGTAAATTGCCTAATGGTCTTATTGCTTAGCCACATGGCTTTATCAATAGGGTTATTCTCTTCTGGGCCCCATAGGGCTAGAAAGATGAGACTGAGCTCCACTGCCATTTCGGGGTTCTGAGGACCAACAGAGACAGAAGCAAAGCAGATTTTAAAAGGCCTCTCCTATTGGGAGTCCTACCTTAAACAGAATTTTCATCTTAAAATTGCTCTAATAAGCTTCTGCTGCATCCCTCCATATCCTTTCTGACCTTGCATTCACAGGTCTGAGACTCTGTCTCCTCTTTGTTTTAGCCATGGTCTTCACCATCCACTTTCAGCATAAGGCCATTTGGGGCACCTCTCTCTTCCTCTCCCTGTCAGAGCCACCTGTGGTCACACATTCTGCAGCCCTCTCTGCTGGAGTCTTTCCCAGTGCACTGCACCCTACCCCTGTGTCTCAGCTAGAGGGCCATCTGCTCACTGCTCCCTGAGGTCCTGTTGCTTCTTGTTAATCACCAAGTGCCAAGAATTTGTTAGATGCTGTGTTTAATCAAAAAAGGAAGGAAGGCGCTGGGGCATGTGGTGCATGCCCGTAATCCCAGCAGCTCAGGAGGCTGAGACAGAAGGATCAAAGCCAGCCTCAGCAAAAGTGAGGCATTAAGCAACTCAGTGAAACCCTGTCTCTAAATAAAATACAAAAATAGGGCTGGGGATATGGCTTGGTGATCTAGTGCCCCTGAGTTTAATCCCTGGCATACACACACACAAAAAAAAAAAAAAAGAAAAAGAAAGGAAGGGAGGGAGGATAAAGAAAAGAAGGAAGAGAGGCAGGAAGGAAGAAAGACTGTCTCCAATGTTGGAAAAATTAATTCCTTCATCAATTCACGTCGTACTGATTTAGTCCTCATCATGGAGAAGGGAATTCTGTTTTCTCCATCTGTCGAGGCAGCAGACGGCAAGTCCTATCATGAAGTTCCTTCCCTTCCTCTCTCTCCCTGTCCTCTTCGAGGTCCTTCTACCCTTAGGACTGTAGTCTTCACAGATAGCTACTGCGTCTTTTTTCTTTAATATATTATTGATTTTTGTTTATATAAGCTATATGTGAATGCAGTCTCCATAAAAAGTTAAATCATTACAGATATAACCCAGCACCTCCTTTCCCCGTCCCCTTCCCCACCCCCAGAGGCAATCACAATGACCTGTTAGGTAGCCTTTCAGAATTTTTGCTATATATTTATATCCACAAGTAGGAAATCATGGAAAATACATAATGCTTTTATGCTTTAAAAAGAAATCACATAAGCCAGGCACAGTGGTTTGCACACCTGTAATTCCAGCAGCTCAGGAGGCTGAGGCAGGAGGATCGCGAGTTCAAAGGCAGCCTGAGCAACTTAGGGAGGCCCTAAGCAACTCAGTGAGACCTTGTTTCTAAATAAAATACAAAAATAGACCTGGGGATGTGGCTCAGTGGCTAAGTGCCCTTGAGTTCAATTCGTGGTTCCGATAGATAGATAGATAGATAGATAGATAGATAGATAGATAGATAGATAGATAGATAGATAGATGATAGATAGAGAAAGAAAGAAAGAAATCACATAGCCAGATGCAGTGGCACATGCTTGTAATCCCAGCAGCTCCAGAGGCTGAGGCAGGAAAGGATCACAAGTTCAAAGCCAGCCTCAGCAACTTGGGAGACCCTAGCAACTTAGCAAGACTCTGTCTCAAAATAAAATATATAAAAGGGCTGAGGAAGTTTCTCAGTGGTTATGGGCCCCTGGGTTCAATTCCTGATACCAAAAAAAAGGAAAAGAAAGAAATCACATAAATGGTTTCAGCTTCATGTTCTATTTTACAATTTGCTTTTCAGCAAGAATGGTTTTTAAAGTCTACCCATGTTTGTCCAAATAGATATGCCTTGTTAACTACAGTACAGAATAGTACAGTATCCCATTATTTGGATATTTGGGTAGTTTCAAATTGTGCATCCTGTGTTTCCTAATTAAAAAGTGCCAACACTTATCATAAAAATTTGAATCTTAACACTATGAGTGGAAAATGTTCTTCTGTAATTTGCATGTTTTCTGGTAAGTAGAGAGGCTAATGCATCTTTTGTTGAGTATTTGCATTTCCTTTTCTGTCAATTATCTATTCAGTCTTTATTTTTTGTTTTCAGCTATTTACTTTCTTATTGGTTTGTAGTAGTTCTTTGTATATTGTAAATAATAACCCTTTGTTAGGTATTTGCAATTTTTTTCAACTCTTTTCCTAAACTTCAAGTTTTTTAGTGTTTCACTCCATGAGATGAAAGCTGATTTTGGCAGGATGACCATAACAAAGTACCATAGACTGAGTAGTTGAACAATACAAATTAATTTTTCCATGTTTCTGGAGACTAGATGTCTGAGGTCAAGATCAAGGTGTCGGCAGAGTGGTTTCTCCTGAGGCCTGTCTCCTTGGCTCGTAGATGGCTATCTTCTCACCCTTACCTTCATGTAGTCCACCTTCTACATGAATCCATGTCCTAATTTTCTCTTCTTATAAGGGTATACTTTCTGTGGGAGTAGTCATACTGAACACCAGCCATATTAGATTAGTGACCTCATTTCCATTTAATGACCTTTTTAAAGACCCTATCTCCAAATACAGTCACATTCTGAGGTACTGGGGTTAGGACTTTAATAGAGGAATTTGAGAAGGGACACAAATCAGTTCATAACAGCAGGGTAGAGGGAAGAAGCCCAACTGGCAGAGAATGGGAGCCAGGTCCACACCTGCCCTTTCTGGAACTGGACCCTGATTGCACGTGATGCAAGATCCCCAAACCAAGAAGATATTTATAATATGATTTGACGCACAGTTGACGGGTTCTCTTCTCCTACAACCCCAAGGTGCTCCAGGCCTCAGTTCACTCAGCTACCCTCACCATGTGTGAAGAAGAGACTACAGCACTTGTGTGTGACAATGGTTCTGGCCTGTGCAAGGCAGGCTTTGCAGGAGATGATGCCCCCCGGGCTGTCTTCCCCTCCATCGTGGGCCGCCCTCGCCACCAGGTTTGTGCTCATTTGGATCCAAAACTTTGAACCACTACGAGCCACATTGTGGAAACTATACTGTGTGTGTGTGTGTGTGTGTGTGTGTGTGTGTGTATATATGTGTGCTAGGGTGGGGTGGGAGGCTGTTTGCTGACCAAAGATAGAGTGCAACTCTTTAAATAGAATTATCCCATGCCAAAACCAATATTTATCACTCATACCATGATGTGTTATGTTTGGGCTTAAGTTTTGGGAGTTGCTAGGTTTGGAGGAATGAAGATACATGAGATTAAATAAGGCTCTTGCTTTTTTAAATGTTTTATTTGTTCTTTTTAGTTATACATGACAGTAGAGTGTATCTTGACATATTACACATATATGGAGTACAACTTCCTATTTTTGTGGTTGTACGTGATGTGGAGTTTCACTGGTCATGTATTCACATAAGAACAGAGGAAAGTTAGGTCCAATTCCTACTACTGTCTTTCTTATTCCCATCCCACTCCCTTCCCTTCATTCCCCTTTGTCTGATCCAATGTACTTCTATCCTCCCCCACCCCTGCTTATTGAGAGTTAGCATATCAGAGAGAACATTTGGCCTTTGGTTTTTGGGGATTGGCTTATTAAGCCTCTTGCTTTTAAGAAATTTGCATTTTGTGAAGATGACACACAACTAACTTGAGATCATGGGTTGTGAAAGAGGCAAAAATATTTCACCAAAGGGAAATAATAGGCAGAGAGGAATCTGGGAAAGGGAAAGCTTCATAGAAAAAGAGATACCAGAGGCTCAGGAGGATTCCAGCTAGTGGAAAGGAGAGCACAAGCAAGATGTGGAGGTGTGGAGCACAAGCATAGGGCACTTAAGGAGAGCAAGTACATGTCGGGGGCAGGTGTGAGGGGGCCGGGGGGAGAAGAGGGAGGAAAAGTGTATGGATGGGCATTGTTTTATCTAAAAAAAAATAAATGACATTGTCTTAGGAGAGAAAAGAAAAACCAGCCCACAGGAAATCACTTACCTCCTCCTCTTGTCACCTCCACACTCACATGTGTCTGCCCACCCTTACCTTCTGTTGTCCTGTATCTGGAGGGCTCTTTTTCTCATTCTCTTCCTTCTCCAGAGTTAGCCTTGTGCCTGAATCCCTCTGTAGGAAGCCTTCAGCAGCTTCACTCTCTTTCCTTGTCTCTTGCAGGGTGTGATGGTGGGAATGGGCCAGAAAGACAGCTACGTTGGGGATGAGGCTCAGAGCAAACGAGGGATCCTGACTCTCAAATACCCCATTGAACACGGCATCATCACCAACTGGGATGACATGGAGAAGGTATCTGGACGGCCCCACAATCCCCCTGTGTTTATTTTAACAATGATCCATCATCATGACCCTAGAATCTCACAACCCACTGTGCCCTGACAATTCTTCCTTGAAAATGTTCTCACCTTCTTCTTTCTTTTCTTTCCATCCCCCATGATAACTTCTCCAACCTACGCTACCAGCCTCTCTCCCTGGACTGTTGCAATGGCTTCCCACTGCTTTCTTTATCTCCAGCCCTCACCCTATTCTCTACCCTGCTGCAAAGCTCCTCTTTCTAGAAACATCAGCTCAGGTCATTCACATCTTCTAGAATCTTCAATAGCTCTTCATTAACAACAGTAAGTTCCTAACTTCCTGTCATGGCATCTGAGGACCTGGCCATATCTAATTTCCAGTGTCCTCCTTTCACTACCTTCGCTCCAGCCAATGTTCACCCTTGTTAAAATGCTAGCGCTGCTGGGTGCAATGGCGCACACCTGTAATCTCAGTGAGTAGGGCTGGGGCAGGGGAGGTGAGGCAGGAGGATCATAGGTTCAAGGCCAGCCTTAGCAACTTAGTGAGACCCTGTCTCAAATTTGAAAATAGAAAGGGCTGGGGATGTGGCTCAATTTCTGGTACCTAAAATAAAATGCTGGTGCTACCTCCAGAGATGCAAATAATCCTCTCTCCCTTTTTATTTTCTCTGTTTTGATTTCAGATAGGTGAATTGATGTTATATTAATATCATGATTCTTTAATGAAAATCTTAAGTAGGACTCTGAGGGTTTCAAGAAGTTCTTTTGTGTAAGAAAATGTAAAGAGAGAGCATTTTAAAAATGTGAACATTTGTGACAAACAAACTCATGTGTGCAAAATTCTTACAGAGCCTTTCTAATATTCTCTCTTTGGGGGAGGGGTAACTACAGATTTAACCCAGGGGCAATTTACCACTGAGTCACATCCCCAGCCCCTTTTATTATTCTTTGAAAATATTTTTTAGTTGTCAATAGACCTTTATTTTATTTATTTATATGCAGTGCTGAGGATTGAACCCAGGCCTCACATGCACTAGGCAAGTGCTCTAGCATTAAGCCACAACTCCAGCCCCCTTTTTATTTTTTATTCTAAGACAGTCTCATTAAGTTGCTTAGGACCTCATTAAGTAACTGAGGCTGACCTTTAACTTTGGATTCTCCTGCCTCAGCCTCTAAACTGCTGAGATTATAGGTATGCACCACTGTGCCTGGCTCTAATATTCCTTCAATCAATTCCATTGACAGTTGTGTGAGAGTATAAAATGTCTAAGATGATTGTCTTTTGAAAGGTAACAGAGAGCTTATTGAGCAGACTGCCATTAGGAATGAAGAATATTGAGATGAAATCTGTAATTCTCTAAATCCTGGATTTGGTTGCTCTGGATATGAGATAAGCACATAAAATGCAATAGCTTTCACATTACAGTCAAGCGGGGGAGATCATGGACACCAGCATCATCGGAGAGACCTGGGTGCAAATCCCACTCTCTAAGACTTAGTTTCTTCATTGGTAAGTGAAGATAAAAATATTTCCTTCATTAGGTTGCTTTGGAGATTGAATTAGGTGAATATTTAATATAATCCTAGAACACAGATTAGTGCTAAAGAGAAAGTGACATTTGTTATTTATATATATCTCACGATCTCTAACTTGAAAACATAAGAACTAAAATATCTTTTACAGTAGTGATAATGTATGAACCCTTCAATAAAGCCTCTAGGATAATAATAACACATGCCTTAAAAAGAAAAACTAAATAGGGTAAGGCTGCCAAATTTCCCCCAAATAATTTATACACTCATTGCCAGTACAAGAAAAATTATGCAAAATAGTCATAAAGAATGATTAGAGAAATAAATGGGCAAAGATTAAGAGAACAAAAGGAGTAAGAAAAATTATTAGTGAGACCGGCCAAATTCTAAAATATAAATATGAGTTATAAAAATTAAAACAATTTGATGCCAACACAAAGGTAAAAAGGGATTATATGATACATGAAACTTCCATCACTAGAGGAAAAAAAAGTCATTCAGTGAATTACTCTGGGACAACTGATTAGTTATTTGAGGGGCTGAAGAATCTTATCTCATACCAAATATATATCAACTGAATAGAAAATTAAATATAAAAATTCAAAGAATAGCCAGGCACTATAATATACCTGTAATCCCAGAGGCTGGGGAGGCTGAAGCAGGAGGATCACAAGTTCAAGACCAGCCTCAGCAATTTATCAAGGCCAAAAGCAACTTAGCAAGACTCACTCTAAAAATTTTAAAAAGGGCTGTAGATGGGGCTCAGAGGTTAAGCACCCCTGGGTTCAATCCCTGGTACTAAATAAATAAATAAATAAATAAATAAATGATTTTAAAAAGTAAATGTGCATGTTTAATCAGTTTTCTGGTGAAAGTATTCGTAGAGAAAAAACAAATTTGACTTCTTAAAAAATCATAATTTCTAGTATATCAAGAAAATCAAAATTCAAATGTCAAATTGTAAAAAATACTAAAGTACAATGAAGGATTAATATAAATAGCTAAGGCAAACTGGTAATTAAAACCACAAAATGTCCCTTAGACAAATAAAGGACATAAACAGGTAATTTGTCAAATGGAAATTATAAAAAGTTGCAAATTTGAAAAGATTTAAAACTCATTTTGAAACACTTGAAATTAAAGCAACCAGATATTATTTTTTTACCTATCAAATTATTTAATATTTTAAGAGTGAAAACATTGAATTTAAGCAAAATAGCCACTTTCTTATTTATTTATTTATTTTTGTTACTGGGAATTGAACCAGGAGTGCTCTACATGTGAGCTCCATCCCCTGACCTTTCCTTTTTTTATTTTAAGAAAGAGTCTTGCTAAGTTACTGAGGCTCAAACTTGAGACCCTCCTGCCTCAGTTTCCCAAGTCACTGGGATTACAGGTTTATACTGCTATGCTCAGCTGCATTCTTGTTTTATTTTTTATTTTTTTAGTTTTAGGTGAACACAATATCTTTATTTTATTATTTTATTTTTTTATGTGGAGCTGAGGATCAAACCCAGTTCCTCATGCATGCCCGGCGAGTGTGCTACTACTTGAGCCATATCCCCAGCCCTTTCTTATTCTATTTTTTTAAAAAAGTTTTTAGATGTTGATAGACATTTATTTTATTCATTTATTTATATGCAGTGATGAGATTCAAACCCAGTGCCTCACACATGCTAAGCAAGCTCTCTACCACTGAGCCACAACCCCAGCCCCTACTTATTCTTAAAGAGTTTAACTTTTGTTGGTCACAGAAAATAGTCTCCCAGTTGCCACATCTTTTAGTTCCCTAACTCCACATTTAGGATTCTTCTCTGTAAAACATCTTGAATTCAAAACAGAAAATGTAAAGTGCACAAAGATAATTTTTACAGGATCATTTATAAACAAAAATCAGACACTCTAATAGTAATATGATTAAATATATGACATATATGATAAACTATTGAAGCACTAAAAATGTTTCCTTACTTTACTAAAAATTAATATTTACTATGAAAGAGAAAGTTATTTATGCTATAAAAACAAATTTGAACATAGTATAGTAATAATAATATGAAATAAGTAAATAATAACAAATTTTAAAATACATAAAGAAAAGATTCAGAACAAAAAACAAAATGTTAACTGTTATTAGTTGATGGAAATTTGGGATATTTTAACAATTTTTTCTTCTTTTTTTGAATTATAAATATTTTCAATTTTTAGGATACAATACTTTGTTAATAAAATAGAATGAAGTGCAGGTGCTTGGACCCACATGTAAAGATACTGATTTGGTTGGTCTGGAATAGAGCCTAGGAACCTGCACCTGGGACAATGGTCCCAGGTTATGCTGAGAGAGAGCATCCAGGGGCACATTTTAAGAAACATCACCTTTTTAAGACCAATTGCTATTTTTCATGATCCTGCTAAACCTTCAAGTCAGGGCCTCTGCTTGTGCTATTTCCTCTGCCTCAGATGCTCTTCCTCATCTCTGGAGACGTTCTTTGCTTTCAGACCCATTCAAATCTCCCAGATTTTAATAACTCCTGCCTCTTTCTTAACCTAATAATTTGGTATGTCTTTGCAGTTTGTGTTTTTGACTGCCTTTCATCCCTTCATATTTCAAAAGAACTGGGCACCGTGTCTGATTTACATCTACCTTCATTACACTTAGCATCCTCCTACCAAAGTTCACAAATATACGGGTTCAAGGGGACCAAGTGACCCTATGTCCTACCTCTGAAAGCAACCAAAGCCCCATGTCCCTGACACTAGTACCAAATTTCTCTGAAATAAAGACTATTATTTATCATCTTTTGCCTCCCAGAGGACATTTGGTAATGTCTGGAGATATTTTTAATTGTCACAAATGGAAAGGTGCTACTAGCATCTAATGAATGGAGAACAAGGATGCTGCTGAACATCCTATAACATACATGTCTGCCCACTCAACAGAGAATTATCCAACCTCGAATGTCACAGTGCTGGGTGAGAAATCCTGCACTAAGCACCAATTAGCCTAGTCAGATATCAGTTAGGTTCCCACCAGGAGACAGTATACTTTCTTTTAATTGATTAAAAAAAAAAAAAAAAGATGTGAGCAGGGTTAAGGTAACCAGAAAGGGATGTTGAAGCACCCAAGTGCCAGAAACAGTGAGAGCTCTTACACCCCTAAGTCTGAAAGGACAAGGTGGGAGAGGGCAGTGTCATTGGAGCCCAGTGAGAGCTGAAGTCCTGAAAAAGGAGCTACCCACCAGTTCATGGAGGACCACACCATTGCCAGGAGAAATGCCCTGACCACTTTCCCTCCTCCTACTCTCTAATTCTCTTGCTAGAATCTTCCACTGGCCAAACACAGAATTCAGAAAGTGATGAACAATATGCCCATCTCCTTTGAGGCACAAAGCAAAGGAGATAAAGGAGAAATGGGAAGAAGGAAAGTCCAATGGAAATAATCAACACCCAGAGTATATTGGCCCCAGGGCTGGCCTGCCTGGGGCCCTGTTGAGAAAGAATATGTCCTTTAAATGTCAATTAGAAATCCCAAAGCTGACCTTTCTCCTCTCCAGATCCAACCCATCCACTCCACTTACAGGGGCTTGTTAGAATTTTCCAGCCTGCAGGGAGTCTGCTGGGCTAATCTGGCTTTTGTCTCAACCAGATCTGGCATCACTCCTTCTACAATGAGCTACGGGTAGCACCAGAAGAGCACCCCACCCTGCTCACAGAGGCCCCACTAAATCCCAAGGCCAACAGGGAGAAGATGACCCAGGTAAGAGTTGGCAAGACTTGAGGTCTGGCACAAGAGTGCAACATGGATGCTCAAATCAGATACTTTCTCCCCTTCATACATCAGTGCAACAGACTGTTTTAAGGGCCTTCTATATAGCCCAGGGCAAGGCCGATAGGAAGTGGGAATAGTATAAAGTACCAAACTGGCTTAGTTCCTAACCTTAATAAGATTACAAACTGTTCTATAGCCCAAAAGATGCTGTGATTTTTGACAGGTAGTTCTTTATTCTTCACTGTCCTTTCAGATCATGTTTGAAACCTTCAATGTCCCTGCCATGTACGTCGCCATTCAAGCTGTGCTCTCCCTCTATGCCTCTGGCCGCACCACAGGTAAGTAGCCCTGTAATTTCTTTCTTTCTGATTTCAGGGGAAGTAAGGGCAAGCTGACCTCCTGCAGAGGATCCTGCTTGGAACAATTAAAGGAAGAGCCAAAGTCCAGGAGAAAATTATGCTTAGAGATAACAGATAGGAATGCCTATGGGAAATGATGGGTCTGAGCTTACTTCATAGAGTTGGAAAGAATTTACATGAACAAAGCATAACTAGCACACACATTCAGTGAGGGCTGTTCCTTATGGTAGCATTCCAGGAACTTATACACACATCCCATGACCCTGGAATATTCTACCTCATAAAGTTAGCAAAGGTAGAACCTGTGATGATAGGTGTTATATGTATGTGACCTTGCTGTGGAAGGATATTCAGGAAACACAGAACCTCAACACAAAATGACCCTTAATAGGACTTGACAGCTTTCATCAATATCATTCAAACATTCAGTCATCATGAACTCATTCATTTATCCATTCACTCATCTATCAAATATTTCCCATTACTCTCTAGAATGTGCCAGATTCTGTACTAGGCCATGGACATACACAACAAGTAAAACGGATCCTGCCATTGTGGAGCGAACAATTTAATGGGGGAGAGATAAAAGTAAAAGATCATTTCACTGCATGTGATAAGGACAACAAGGAGGAAATACATAGCACACACAGTTTTGTATTCTGGGCTTTGCACTTGATTTTATGATATAAACATCATGTTTACTGGACACATGGTAGTCATGGAATGATAGCTTCATTGTTTATTTATTTAACCACTTCTCTTTTGCTAGACCTTTTGGTTTTCTCTAGTTTTTATTCTAAAAATTTTCATAATAAACTTTTGTGTACAAGAGCAGATTACCAGTTTCTGAATATTTATTTTGCATCTGGCCCTTGTCAAACCATCTTATTATGGTCTAATGGTTTCTTAGTTGGTACATTTAGTCTCCTAAAATAAAACCATGTCATATGTAAATAATGACAATCCTGTTTATTTTTGGTAATAATATTTTGTATTTACATTTTCTGTCTTACTACATCGACTAGAACATCCAGGACAATATTAAAAAATAATGGTGACCAATCAGGTGCCGTGGCGCATGCCTATAACCCCAGCAGCTCTGGAGGCTGAGACAAGAGGATCATGAGTTCAAAGCCAGCCTCAGCAAAAAGTGGGGCACTAAGCAACTTAGTGAGACCCTGTCTCTAAATAAAATACAAAAAGTAGTACTGAGGATGTGGCTCAGTGGTTGAGTCCCCTGAGTTAAATCTCTAGCACCCCAAATAATAATAATAATGATAATGATGACCAACAAAAAAATATGAAGAAAAGAAATAAAACATCATGCTAAGTGAAAAATAAAATAAAATGTTTTTTAAAATGTTGATCTAGCAGTGTTTCCCCATCAATTAGAATATTGCTGTTGGATCAAGAGGGATTTCTTGTAGAGAAATTTTATTTTCTTTCATGGTTTAATAAAAGTTTCATTAGTAGAGAATGTTAATCCCTTTCAAATTGATTGGTTTTCATAATTCCTTCCAGATTTAACATTCTGATTGTAGGTACATATGTATTAATTTGACTCCTGAGGATGTCCACTCTCACTTCAAGAACATGTAGCCTAGATTGAATGCAAATCAACAAGTGTGCATTACCATGAATGTATTTCAAAGAATCCAAGAAAAAGAGAGATTTCACTTGCCTTCTAGAGGCTTATAGTCTCATTTGGGAGAAAAAAACCTGATATATACACACACAAATATGAATGATGATTCTCATGGTGGGTGAGTTTTCTTAATTACTAAAGGGATATATGTTAGCTTGAGATCATTTGGTAACAGATCTCAGAAAAAATAGATGAAAGACAGAATGAGATTTTCATTTGCCCATCCTCTCTGTCCACAGGCATTGTCCTAGATTCAGGGGATGGCGTCACCCACAATGTTCCCATCTATGAGGGCTATGCCCTACCCCACGCCATCATGCGCCTTGACCTGGCTGGCCGCGACCTCACGGACTACCTCATGAAGATTCTCACAGAGAGAGGCTATTCCTTTGTGACCACAGGTATCCAGCCCCTTTCCTGATTCTGATTTGAACTCAGAACCAAATCTAATGTAGGACTGCAAGTTCTTAGGACTAAGAAGAATTCTATGGTCCAGTGTCTTCTAATTCTCTTGGGGCAGACTCACCCTAAACTGAGGCTATGCCTCTGGTCAAGACCACGTAATCAAAGCAGGCTTATTGAAGGAGAAAAAATTCCTAATAAAGATAGCCTGGGGACAAGGCTTGGGCCCAGTTGTTCTAAGAGTCACTCGCCTAACCCTTCCATTACAGTTTTTCCACCATTCCCTCCTTCATCAGGGACCTGCTGCTTCTGTTTGTGTCACACTGGGACCTGTGGTTTTGACAAGGCTGAATGATAGTGAAGTTATAATGGTGTGTTTCATTACCTAGGGGTGCTAGGGTTTGTCTGAAGAAAATTATAACTAAAAAGATTTGAATTGCTAAGAAGAGAGCACCACACAGCCCTACTGGGCAAATGAGTCTAGATTGGAAGTGTGCCCTGTAGGGCCCTCAGGAAGGCTGTGGCTTTATCAGGATGGTGATAAGAACAAGGAGGAAATCCCATGTGAAGTGTTGCTTGGGAATAAAGCTTTTGTATTCCCTTTTTAGAAAAAAGTGGACAATTTTCCATGGGATGAAGAGACCATTGACCTTCTTTGGGGGTAATCCGGGTATCATCCTAAGACTGAATTCAAATAGATATAAGGAGGTTTTCAAGGTGATCACAGTGGCACAACAAGCTAGCAAACAGAAAACCCACTTTCTATCTTTTCTGTTCTTCCCAGCTGAGCGAGAAATCGTGAGAGACATCAAGGAGAAACTGTGCTATGTGGCCCTGGATTTTGAGAATGAGATGGCCACAGCAGCCTCATCTTCCTCCCTGGAGAAGAGTTATGAGCTGCCAGATGGGCAGGTCATCACCATTGGCAATGAGCGCTTCCGCTGCCCTGAGACCCTCTTCCAGCCTTCCTTCATTGGTGAGGACTTTCAGTCCCTGCTCACTGATCTAGAGGGCTGGGTGGAGGGGTTCAAGGTGAAGGGTGGGCGAGGTATGAAAAGAGAAATACCAGGAAGTCATGGACATTTTGTTTACTATTTATACATATTTTTCCAGGAAGGATCAAAACTATATAAACAAACAACTGGATAAAATCTAATTTTAAATAAAAGGGCCAGGAAATCAAGATAAAGGAAAAGCAGGGCTAGGATTGTCCATCAGTGGTGGAGCACTTGCCTTGCACGTGTGAGGCATTGGGTTTGATCCCCAACACCACATAAAAATAAATAAATAAAGGTATTGTGTCTATCTACAACTAAAGAGAAAAATTTTTTAAAGATAAAGGAGGGCTGGGGTTGTGGCTCAGGGGTAGAGCACTTGCATAGCATGTGTGAGGCATTGGGTTCCATCCCCAGCACCACATAAAAATAAACAAATAAAATAAAGGTATTGTGTCCATCTACAACTTAGAAAAAGTTAAAAAAAAAAGATAAAGGAAAAACAGGTTAGAGAATATAAAATGAAACTAAGAATGATATTAATACACTACACATGTCAGGACATTTTCCAATCACTTTAACATTTAGGTCATTGGGACATATCTACAGTAGGAAAGAGATCAGACTTGGTTTTAAGTCCCAACTCTGCCCCTCCAAATCCTGTAACCTTGGAACTTAACTCCCTTCTTCAAGTTCTAATTTTCTCATCTATAAATTGGAAATGATGATAGAACCTACCAGATGGTATTAAGACAAGGATTATAAAGTAATATTTAACACAAGAGCAATTACTTTTCTTAGGGATGTATAAGAGGAAGATAAGTGTAGAGGGTTTCTTTAGGGGGCATTAAAAATGTGTCCCCCAAGAGAATATTACGTTTGATTTAATTTTAATCAAATTAAAATTGTATTGTGATGGTTTCACACTAAAAATATTGAACAATATATTCTTCCACATAGTTATTGGTGCACTATAGTTGTACAAATTGATGGGTTTTATTGTGAACAATATACTATAATAGGGAATTTTTATGCTATGTGAATTTATCACAATAAAACTGTTTTATAAAAAGATGGTATGTAAGAGGAAATATCCCTTTAGAAATATGCCGTGGTCAACAGTGTGAAAGATCATTTAGAACAGGGGGAAGCTAAAAGCAGGGTTCAAGACCAGCTGGGGGTCTGCTCTTATAATCCATGTGGGAAGTTGACTAAGGGTCTGAACTAGGGCAGTTGTAATAGCAGCAGAAGGATCATATGAGGAGTTGGAACTGTGTTTATGAAACAATGGGTGTTGTAATCGCCACTAGGCATGGAGTCTGCCGGAATTCATGAGACAACCTACAATTCCATCATGAAGTGTGACATTGACATCCGTAAGGATTTGTATGCCAACAATGTCCTTTCTGGGGGCACAACCATGTACCCTGGCATTGCTGACAGGATGCAGAAGGAGATCACAGCCCTGGCCCCCAGTACCATGAAGATCAAGGTGAGTCTTGCCCTAGATACCTTTTCCTGTTCTTTGCACGGAGACCTGCCTACCTGGGAAGTGCTGCCAGGCACAGGAACCTAGTGTTCTCTTGGGTTCAGCAGCAGCCTGGTCTGGAGCAAATTTCATCTTGGCAGATTATGTTTCTTGAGACCTGATAGGCTAGAGACATGTTTAGCATGGATGAACTCTTGTCATATGGATGTCATACAAGAATAAATTGAAAGAATATGAGATAAAGAGAATATTGAGCTGGGTATGGTGGCACATACCTGTAATCCCAGCAACTCAGGAGACTGATGTAAGAGGATCACAAATTTAAGGCCAGCCTCAGAAAATTAGTGAGACCCTGTCTCAAATAAAGAATAAGAACTGAGGATGTAGCTCAGTGGTAAAGTACCCCTGTGTTTGGTCCCCAGTACCAAGAAAAAAACAAACAAAAAAGAATATTGGGTCAGTGTAGGAAGAAGTTGGGAGGAGGGAAATAGAAGGAGAGAAGAAGAAAGTAGGCAAAGTTAAAATGTCTTTAAAGTTTTACAAGGATTTGGATGTTACCCTAGAGGAGGTCATAATTTAAAAAGGGAATGTTTGCTCATGGGGCTGGCTGCCACTAAAAACTCTCAGGGACATTCCTGAATTTTTTTTTTTTTTTTTTTTTGGTACTGGGGATTGAACTCAGGGACACCCAACCACTGAGCCACATCCCCAGCACTATTTTGTATTTTATTTAGAGACAGAGTCTCACTGAGTTGCTAAGCGCCCCACCATTGCTGAGGCTGGCTTTGAACTCATGTCTCAGCCTCCCAAGCCACTGGGATTACTGGCATACGCCACTGTGCCCAGCTGACATTCCTGATTTCTTGGCTAAGCTGCTCTGATCCATTGTTCATCCTGCCTCTGGACTTCTACACTGCTTCTCCCCAGGGTGCATTTCTAAGTCCTGAGCCTCAGCAGGATGGAAGCCCACCTGTTTACCACTTCTCCCTAGCCTCTAATCTCCAAGCAATCATACCTACCTTCCCAGGGCTTCTGGGAACTTTCCTGCTAACAGGTTTAGAGAAAGAGTTGGGAATAGGAAGAAACTGCTGGAAAGTTACTCTCACAATAGAGTTGGTCTTGGGGGAGTAGGCCTGATGGAGATGTGTTCTCTGTCACAATTCTAAGAATTTTCCTCAGAAAGGAAGGCTGCTGGGGCCTTCCCTGGCCTGGTGGAGGTGCTCATTCATCACAGGGTAGCAGAGCAGGTCACCAGAAAACTGCCAAGAACCCACAGGCTCTTCCCACCCAGAACTTCAGGAGAAATGTACTTACTTTGCCTGCCACATGGAGGGCATCATGCCAGGATGCCACTCCCAGCCTCACCCCAGATTCTGGTTCAACAGGTCTGAGGTGCCTGCTTCATCTACATTGAGAAACAGCCACCAGGGTACAGCAAGCATTTTTACCATGAGGATGGGAGGAGGAGTGGGGAAGTAGACATATCTAGTCTACCACAATGTCTATCCTGTTCATTTCTGATCATGGAGGCCGCCCTTTCCCAGGGCAGTCTAGAAGCATGCCGAGAAGATTTCTGGTCCTCCTTTCCAGTTCTTTTCTTTTGTTGCCTAAGGTCTGGGGCGGGACAACTACAGGTATGTGCTACCATGCTCAACTTCCTTGCCTGTTGCTCTTGGGGGCTGATCATGATTCAAACATTTACTTTTTGCAGATTATTGCTCCCCCTGAACGGAAGTACTCAGTCTGGATCGGAGGCTCCATCCTGGCCTCTCTTTCCACCTTCCAGCAGATGTGGATCAGCAAGCCTGAGTACGATGAGGCAGGACCCTCCATTGTCCACAGGAAGTGCTTCTAAAGTCACAACAGGTTCTCAGGATTCTCTTGAGACTGTTGATACCAGTTACTGAAACATTAAACCTGCAAGCCTTACTTCTCTATGTGGACTCTTTTTTTTCCTGGGCTGTGTCTCATACAAATGCTAAGGGCTTTTCTCAAATTATTTCTAGTCTACACAGTGCTCCTTTGGTACTTTAGATACTATTCTTATCCCTGTGCTATAGAAGACAAAAACGAGACTCAGAGAAGTGAAGTCTTGCTGAGGATTACACAGAACCAAGATTAAAATTCAAGTATATCTGACTCCAAAGCTGTACCATCTTTTCTCCTCTTCCTTGAATATAAGTAAGAATATGAGCTAGATGACTTTGGGGCCTTAAGAAACCTGGGCTTTCAGAGGTGTAAATCCTCATACACAAGGGCAATACACTAGAGCACACAAACCCAAGTCATATAGGATGTGACATAAGTGGCTCAAACACATGGTTATTTGTACTTAGAAAAGGAAACTCACAATGGGACTAAGATCTCTCAGGTCCTTTGTCATTGAAGACTGGGTTGCATTTGGCTCCAAAATTAATCAAGAAAGGAACAGCACCCTTGGGAAGAATTTTTATTTTTCTTCATTCGATCTCTTTGTCCCTTCTCTTTTTTCTCTCCCATCTGCTTCATATTATATTTCTCTCTGTCCCCTGCCCTTGGTCAATTCTCTACTTTTATAAGTAGTTGCTGAATTTTGGGCATGTAGAGTTCCTGGGTAAGACCACATGTGATTTATGTTTCTCACAAAGACAGTTCCTTCCTATCAAGATATCACTGCATAAAAGGGGAGACAAACATGTGAACATGTATCACAATGACATGAGGGCAAACAGAAACATCCAGAAAGTGCTATGAGAGGGGCTGGGGCTGTAGCTCAGTGGTAGAGTACTTGCCTCGCACATGTGAGGCACTGGGTTTGAGCCTCAGCACCACATAAAAATAAATAAATATTTTTTAAAAGGCCACATATTATATTTTTTAAAGAGAGTGCTTTGAAAAAATAATACTAAATGTTAAAGTACTCACTAAATGTTAGTTGTACTTATAACATGCTAGGCACTGTGTCCAGAGCCTCACATGACTGCCTCCTCTTTTTTTTTAATGTATACAGTTCCTTTATTCAATTTAATTCTTATGTGGTGCTGAGGATCAACCCCCCACACACAGTGCTTCATACATGCCAGGCAAGCACTCTACCACTGAGCCACAACCCCAGCTCCACGATTGCCTCTTTTAATCTTCAACATAATCATATAAAGTAGGTACTGGTGTTATCTTCCTTTTACAGCTATTTACTAGTTACCAGGCCACTCAGCTACTCAGTAGCAGGACAAGGTCTTCAGCTCTGCCTGGTGTCTCTTCCTTCTCTCCCTGTAGCCAAGTTCCATGTCCCTGATCACATCCTGTCTAAGCCACCCCAGACACACCCACTTGGAGACAGTGGGGGCTCCGTATTTAAATGCAGGGACCTCAGTGTAAGATGTTTTTCTATCGCCATCCTTGCCCTTGCCTTCTGGAGATAGGTGGAGTCGAGGAGCATGTTTTCAAAAACTCTTAGAGGACTTCAGCCCAGAAGCAGATCCTGAAATGAAGATTCAAATGCAAGTGACTTACTAAGGAAGGGAAACCTAGTAAATAGACTAGGAGAGGCACAAGAGGAAAGAGGAAGCCTAGCAAGGGGATGATCTCAGGCAAAGTGCCCCAGCAGGCAGCTTCAGCCTTATCTCCACACTGCAATTCTAGAGTCTAAGCTGAGCCTGACTGGAGGCAGGGAGGCTGGGTTTCACAGTCCCACACCTGCCAGCAATTAGTGAGGATTACTCCAGGAGGATGTGAAGAAAAGGCCAGCTGTTGGAAGAGAAAGCACAAGGAGGAGGCTAGAGGACAGACACACACACACACCAGGACAGATAGCACTAACATGATCTGCTTTAGAGGGGTGTGTTGGAATCACAGCATGGGGGAAAGATAAGTAGGCTTACCATCTGATCCCCCATACCCATCTGACTTCCCTCACCACTTCCTCCTCCCGCTCCTCCCTCTTTTTCCCTACTTTCCCCTTCTCCTACCACATTCTTTTTTCAAGAAAAAAAGTACTGCTGGGCATGTTGGTTCAAGCCTGTCATGACAGCATTCAGGAGGCTGAGGCAGGAGGATAGATAGCAAATTCAAGGCCAGACTCAGCAATATAGTGAGGCTCTAAATAACTTAGTGAGATCCTGTCTCAAATAAATTAATATTAATTTAAAAATTAAATAAATAAAAAATTAAGAGGGCTGGGGATGTAGCTCAGTGGTAAAGTACCCTGCATTCAATCCCCAGTACTTCAGTGGATATTGAGTTATCTAGAAGAATAGTGTCTTGAGGAACATGAAAGACAGGTACTGCTAGTGGATTCTCCCTCCTAATCCTCACCCAGGTCATTTATTTTATTTTACTTGATTTTATTTCGTGGTGCTGGGGATGGAGATCAGGCCCCTGAGCATGCTAGGCAAGCACTCTACCACTGAGCTATACTTCTAGCCCGAAGCCACATTCTTAAACACCTCCCTATATGCCTCCCTTTATAATTAGGTATAGCTGTTGGAGTGCCTTCAGGGGAACAGAGTCACCAGTGAGTATTTTGGGAGTAAGGAATTTATTACAGGAATGAGGCTTTACCCAAAGGTAGGAGGAGTTAGGGAAGTGAAGGTCTGCAAAAGAATTGTAGGATAATTAGAGAGGGCTCCCTACTGCATGGGGAGGTAGCTGAGATCCATCTACTGGGCATGTTTGCCTGTCATAGTATCTGACAGTGATGATCTCCCCAGAGGAGTGGCTGGTGATCTCATTCTGCCTTCCAAATCTCACATCAGGTCTTCATATGGCTAGCTCAAGTAACAGCCCTGTTGGCAGGGCATTCCGGAAACTTGCTTCTCAACAAGGACAAATGAGTTTAGCACATTAGAAAATTATTGATGCAGATGAGATGTAGCTGACCACAAATCCAGGCAGCAAAAGAAAGTCACAATTTTGTATGCTTATCTCCAATTTTTAATGGCTGCATAGCATTTTCTATAATATGTATCAGCATTTTATTTATCACAGTAGCATTTACTATCATTTGGAAAATAGTACATCTTTCAGAGCTATACTCCAAGACCAAGCAATGTGTCTGACATCTAGTAGATGCTCAGCAAATATTGGATTCAATGAATGGATGCGACATGACTAGAGTCCCCTGAAGTACCACACATTAGCTCTTGTTCATAAACTCCAGAAGATCTCTGACAATCACCCAGGAGAAGACAGTGCCTCATTTTTCCAGGCAAGTGGGAGGTAATTCTGTTCACCAATATGCCACTACTTTCTGCAAAACACCCTGTTTACCACTGCCAGTAGGAACTAATCACCACCCTTTTGGGGTCTTCTTTTCTCATGCATAGAGATAGGATCCCAACATCTATGTTTATTCCGTGAGCTACAGATAATTGGACCAATACAGCTTTAGGAATTCTTGCCTGGAACTCAGGTGTCTTCTAAGCTTCCAAATGCACCTTCCTTTTGGTCTGATGACAATTGGGCTGATCTAATTCTCTCTCCTAGGAATTTATAATTAGAACCAAGAAAGATACTGACTTTTTATTTATGGTATAATAATCAAACAAGCATAAATAAATAAAGGGGGATAGGAAGATGGTTACTAATGACAGTACTGGGTAACTAAACACTCTATTATGTATAAGATATTTTGGTTTCTTAATTTATACTAAATACCAAACATAAAAAATAAGAACCCTTTTAGAAACAAACCAAAGAGTGGGAGAGAAAATGTTTGCAAAGGACTCATACCCAGATTATATAAAGAACAAGACAAATAAAAGACAACCAATAGAAAAATGAGCACAATACTTGAACAGATCCTTCACAACAAAAGATATTCAAATAGTCAATAAACATTCGAAAAGCTATTCAACTTCATTAATCAGCAGGAAAATGCAAACTAAAACTATAGCAAGGCACCATCACACACAGAATAATAAAGTGTAAAAAAGGTGGTCATGTGGAACAACCAGAACTATCTCTCATTGATGGTGGCTGTGTCAACTGGGATAATCAGACTTTATGGAATTATTTGCTATTTAGGAATATCTACTAAGGCTGAGTATACACATAACTTATAACCTAATAGTTCCTCACCCAAGAGAAATACATACTTTTGTTTACCAAAAGACATGTACAAGAATATTCATAGCAACGTTATTTGTTATGGCTCCAATCTAGCAACTCTCAAATGTTCATCAATAGTAGAATGGCTAAAATACATTCGTATAGTGACATGGTGGAATACTATGTAGCAGTCAAAATGAATGAACTACAACTACTGCACATGACATGAATAACTCTCACAGATATTATGTCAAATGAAATAAGTACTTCTTAAATGATCTCATTTATATAAAGAACAGGCAAAACTAATTCCTGCTGTTAAAAGTCAATCTAGTGGTTACCCTTGAGTGATAGTAACTGGCAGGGAACATGGGGCTTTCTGGGGATGCTGGTAATGCCTTTCTTCATCTGAATCCAGGTAACATGGAAGTATACAGTTTGTGACATTTAAGTGAACTGCACACTTACAATATATGCTCTTTTCCTCATACATATTATGCTTCATTATAAAGTTTTTTTTTAATGTTTTAGTTGTAGATGGACACAATACTTTTATTTTATTTATTTATTTTTATGTGGCTCTGAGGATTCAACCCAGTGCCTCACACATGCTAGGCGAGCTCTCTACCACTGAGTCACAACCCCAGCCCAAATTTTTTAAAAATAACTTTTAGGGGCAGATTAGTTGCCTGCATGAATATAAACCTGAATAAGGCTTCATTTAACTTTCTCATGGGCCCAGACTCTAAGGATGCAGACAGTCTGTCAAACTTTTTTGGATGAATAGTTTCTGAGTTTACACAGCCAAAGAAATTTTTGTTTGTTTATTTGATTTGAGTACTGGGAATTGACTCCAGGGGAATTCTACCACTGAGCTACTTCTTCAGCCCTTTTTATGTTTGTTTGTTTGTTTGTTTGTTTGTTTGTTTTGGGAGGGATTCAGTGAGTTAAGTTGCTCAGGCTGGCCTTGACTTGAGATTCTTCTGCCTCAGCCTCCCCCTAAACCCTGCCAGTTGCTGGGATAACAGGCAGGTGCCACCATGCCCCACTTAATCAAAGAAAAGTAAAAAGGGGCTGGGTTGTGGCTCAGTGGTAGTACGCTTCCCACACATGTGTGAGGCACTGGGTTTGATTCTCAGCGCTGCAAATAAATAAATAAAGTTCCATCAACAACTAAAAAAACAAATGTAAACAGTATTTTTACACAGAGGCGGTTGCAGAAGTGGGGAAGAAAAAAAAAAAAAGAAGTGGAGAAGGAAAAGGACAGACTTTACTCAGAACTCCATTAGCACCAACCAGGTTATCCTAAACAAATCTTCAACCTGTTTTTTAAAATAACAGTGCTTAAAATACAAACATGATTTCAGTCATCCAGTATAAACATCAACATAAGAAAAAGGGCCTGTAATTTCTGTGCCAACAGCTTCAAACCAGTTGTCCCATTCACCACTCTGAGACAGTCTCCCCATTCACATTGTAATCAGTCAGATCCTCCTAAAAACCTCCCACATCAAGTCCTGCCATAATGAATGCCAGCTTGGCCTGTCTACTTCAGGTTTGACTTGTGTTTTAAGTGATAGGGCCTGGGAGCGTCCTCTGACACCTAAGTAATTACTTCGGAGGTTCTGGTGACCACGGGGTGTGGCAGGTCAAAACCAGTCAGACCTCACTGGTGGCTGCAGCTCAGAACTCCGCAGGGCACTTTCTCCACTGCCTGCAGAACTTGGATTTAGTGCACCAGCAAGTCTCTACCGTGTCTCTTGTCAGCCTTCTACAAACCCGATTCTGAATCCTCTTACCACTTGCCCCGCACCTCACCCCTGCCCCCGCCTAGTTCACACACCTATCAGGTTCACATCCTTGGGCCTCCGCCTCTTTATCATGTTGGGGTTCTTTGGTTATTAATCAAATTGATTGAGCGAACATTTATTTATTTATTCAAGAGGCAAAATAAAAGATGGAGTGTAACTAATGAACTAATTTGTTCATTTATTCAATAATGTTCCAGCATTGTGCTGGGAGTTCCTGGGAACAGGAAAAATTAATTCGTGTAAGATTGTCATTTTCTTACTTAAAATCTTCCAGTTTTTTCCCATATTAAGTAAAAAATAGACAACAAACACCTGGGGCGGGGTGTTTAAATTAAAATTACCATTATTTCGAAGTCTATAAAAATGCAAAAGTGATAGGATTGTACACTTGTGTCTTTTTTTAAGGGCTTTTTTTTTTCCTTTTCAAATGTTACTTGTCCATTACACAAAAACGCAGGGGCTCTTCGCACAGTCGCAACTCCAGGGATCTGCAAACTCTACCTCACCACTATGCAAGACTTTCCCAGCTTTCAACACTTTACCAACAGCGCGAAAACAGAGGGGTCCCTTGGGCCCCGCCCTCTCAGCCAGCTTAACCCCACCCACTTCCTGCCTGGAGTTCGTCTGACGTCAGTAACGCGCCAAGGCGCGTAAACAGCGGTACCTTGGGCGGAAGTGCTCTCTGCGGAAGTGAGCACCGCTCTGAGCGTGGGTGGGATGGCTGTGGGCCGTCTCTTTTTAAGTGGGTTGCGCACACTCTTCGGTACCATGGCCCAGAACCTTCTCGAGGGTGCGCCCTCCTCCAGGGGCCTGCACGCGGGGCACGGACCCCGAAGGCTCTCCATCGAAGGCAACATTGGTAAGGGCCAGAAAGTGGCTGCTAAGCCGTGGCCTCCTCCAAGCAGGTGACTGAGGTTGGGAAAGGAAGCTGGGCCCAGAACCCCACCCCCACTCCGCCCCCGTCTAATGCGACTTACCGACATGCCTGTTCTGTGTTGCCCTGGCCTTTCTTCTCTCAAAGTGCACTGTGGGTGTTTCCCTCTTAGGTTTTTAAGATTTGGGGCCTCAGTAACCGCCCACAAGGACACATTTGTTGGGGCGCAAAAGCTACGCAGACTGTAGATAGGACAAGAATTCTACTAGATTGCTATCTTAGATCGAAATGGAAGCAACAAACAGGGTGCAGTTTGTTTGCCTAAGATGAGTTGCCAGATTTAGCAAAAAAAAAAAGCACAGTTCATAGAGAATTTAAGATAAGCCAGGAATAAATTTTAGTATGTCACTTGCAGTATTCAGAATACTAAAAAAAAAAAGGATTATTCATTGTTTGTCTAAGACTCAAATTTAACTGGTTGTTTTGTTTTTATCTGACAACCCTACTCCAAGAAAGTTGCTAAACTTCAGTCATTCAAATACCACTTTCACTCTTTTTGCCATGTCCCTGTGCTAGTTGCACTCTAAATTTCCTAAGGTTTTCTTGGAAGAACCTCACTTCTTAAATTTAAAAATAGGTATTAAGTTTAAAATATTTTTTAAAAGAATAGTAACCCAGTATGTTAAGTAAAAAGTAATGAAAAAGTAAAATGAAAGCAATTAAAAAATTTGACTTGCTTCCTTGACCAGCAAAGGCCATAAAAAGGGGATTAGCAAGTGTTGAGTAGTGAAGACATTAATTATAGCAGCAAACTGAGAATTTCTCATATAATTATTCAACAAATCACCTTTTGTGCTACTTCCATATGTTACTACTTATCTTCGCTATAGAACTCTTTTGAACTCTAATAGAGTAGACAATAAACAACATAAGCACAGTAACGTGTGTTAAAGTAACTAATGTCATGGCAGAAAAACCAGGGAAAGGTCTCACTGTAGTGTCATTTATCCAAATACATTAAAAATGTGAGAGAATCTACCATCTGGATAGGTGGGAGAGGAATCTTCCAGGCTGAGTGAGGTGCATGTAGAAAACCTGTGAGGTTGGATAGCATGTTGAGGGAATAAAAGGGAACCTATTGTGGCTGGAGTTGAATGGAACAAGATGAGATCAGATGGGTAAGGGTGGATGGACATTATAAACTTCATAGTCCATCATGGTTTTTTAATCTGAGATGGGAAGCCATTAGATGGTTTGAGGTCTCAGGTGACAAAAGATCACCTCTCTAATATGTTGAAAGTAGGTGTTAGGAGGCCATTGCAATAATAGTTACAATGAAAGTTACATTTTAGGGTAGGGCCAGTTGAAGTTGACGACAGATTGAATATGTAGTGTGAGATAAAGAGAGGGCTCAGTGGTGGTCCCAATTATTTTGGCTTGAACAGTGTGAAAAATGGACTTTGGATTTTCTTAACTAGAGAAGGCTGGAAAGAACAGGTTGGAAGAATAGTTTCAAGATTTTGGTTTTTAGTCAGGTGTGGTGGCACACACCTATAATCCTAAAAATTCTGGAGGTTGAGGCAGGACTGTGTCCAGTAGGCTGCCTCTAGCCTCTGTAACTTAGCAATATCCTGTCTTAAAAAAAAAAAAAAAGACTGGGAATATATGTAGCACCCCAGGTGGTAAAGCACCCTGGGTCCAGTCCCCCGGTACTTAAAAATATATATATGTGTGTGTGTGTGTGTGTGTGTGTGTGTGTGTGTGTGTGTGTGTGTGATTTGAGCATATCTGGTTTTTATGTGCCTGTTAGATATTCAAGAGGACATGTTAGGCAGTTGGATATATGAGTCTAGAATTCAGAGACTCTCTGGACTGGAACTATCAATGTAGATGGTATTTAAAGCCAGGAGATCGTATTGATGGAGAGATCTGAACCCTAGGGTAGGCAGATGGAAGAAATGGGAAAGAACAAGCAGAGGAGACTGAGAAGTAAGGACCTCTAAGATAAAAGAACAAGCAGGGGCTGGGGTTGTGGCTCAGCGGTAGAGCACTCGCCTAGTGTGTGGGAGGCCCTGGGTTCCATCCTCAGCATTACATAAAAATAAATAAATAAAAGCAGAGGCATTAAAAAAAAAAGGATTTATTAAAAAAAGAAAAAGAGAATGATATCCTAGAAGCCAAGTGAGGAAACTCTACAGCGGGTAGGAATGTGTTTTACTATTTAAGTAAATGAAGGTCTTAGGTGAACTTGAAAGGAATAGTGTTAGGAATGGTAGGAGCAAAAATCTTATTGGCATAGATGAAAAGAGAATAGGAGGTAAGGAACTGGAGACAGTTGGTTAAGACAGCTGTTTGGAACAGTTTCTAGAAAGAGGAGCCATGGTGTGGGAGCTGAAATTAGAAGGGGATTTGAGAGTTTTTAAATTCTGTTTTATTTTTAGGAGGGAGTAGAGAATGTTTATAAGTTGATGGAAATGGCTAGTGAGGGTGGGGGGGGGACTGATGAATCAGGAGAAAAGTTAGAATTAACTGGAGTGCTTAAGTAAACAAGAAAAGAATGGGATCTGTTGCCCAATTGGAAAGTGTTTACCTTAGCTCAAAGCACAGTTTTCCCTAGTCACAAGAAAGACGCAAAATATATGAGGTGTGGTGGGAACTTGGGGAAGGTCTTTTGATTGTATCCTCTTTCTCAGTGAAACAGGAAAGATTATGAGAGACTTTGGGAGAGAGAAAACATGAAACAATTTAGTGAGTGAGAGAAGTGTCCGATTGCAGGGCTGCAGTAAGGATCCACCTGGAGTTGGTGCTTTTGAAGGGAAAGTGAGACCAGTTACCACAGCTGTACCACAGTTGTTTTTCCCCAACCAAATCAGAAACTTGGAAGAAAAACGAGAATGGAAGGTCCTGCTACCTACATGCTGTTTTAAAGGTGGTCTTTCTGTATTTGAGAAACACACCCCTAAAGGGAACACTGTCCTTGGACACCAGAGTATTTGTTCACAAATAAGTTCTTTGAACAGGTCATTAGGTGAAGATTGAGCTCCTAACTCTCCTGACCTTTGCTTCCTCACCTAGCCAGATTCTGTGCTGCTTCCTTGCTTTCTCCTGCAAGAAAGAGTGAGTGACTGCTATAAGTTCACCCACACACAGAGCACAGCAGTGAATGTGGTACTGCTCCTCTCCTTCAACAGGCTGACAATCAAGTGGGAGAAGCACACTTCTGAACATAATTTCCACGCTGAGTGATGTGATCCATGATTAAGCATAGAAACTCAAAATCTCTACAATAGGAATTCCCAGTATTCCTACAAAGAGGAAAAAGTGTTACAAACATAGGAAGTAACATTTGCCACAGTGGTAAAGGCTGAAAATGCACATGCAGTTTAAATAGAAGGAAAGTTGCTGGCTGTTTCTGGAGTTTAAAGGACCTGTGAGAGGGTGGCAAAACAAGAGGTGGGACCATGCTAGGAATTTATCCTGTTGGTAGTGGAAGGCTATTAAGACTTGAAGTTAGTGTGTGCGATGAGCAGATTAACTTTAAAAAGGAATTTGGGCCAGACCTTCTGGTGCACACCTGTAATCCTGGCCACTTGGGAGGCTGAGGCAAGAGGGTTGCAAGTTTGAGGCCAGCCTGTCTCAAAATAAAAAATAAAAAGCTGGGGATATAGCTCAGTAGTAGAGTGCTCCTGGTTCAATCCCCAGTACTGCCCAAAGAAAACAATTGACTATGAATGAATAGAAAGTTTCATTAAAAAGATAATTTTTAATAAGTCTTATTTGCTGCAGTATCCATGGTGCCTTGCATTCAGTTGAATGAATGAATGGATAAATTGGAATAGCTTGGAGTAGAGAGAACTAGTTTGTGAATTTGGAAGGAAAACTGATGCAAGCCAGAACAGAAGGAATGAAGAGACAATGAAATGATTGTTTGAAACATTTTGAGAGTTAAATTGACAGGTCTTAGTGGCTACTTAAAGTTGAAGGGTAGAGAGAAATAAAAGATGACACTGAGTTTCATAATTTGGATACTGACTCAATGCAGAAGATGAAATAAAGGAAGAGGTGGTCTGGGGGAGGTACCTGGACATAGAAGAGACTGGAGATGGAAGCTAGAATTTCATATCTGGAAGTTGTTGACTGATGGGGGTAGTTGTTAAGCCTTGGGAGTGGACTGGGGGACTTAATCTGACTCTTTTTACTTTCATCTTCCATTACTCTCCATTATCCCACATGCCCAGATGACTCTCCCAGACAGAATTAGTCACTCCTCCTCTGTGGGCTGTCATAACATTTTGTACCCACAACTGTGTCAGCACTTGAGTTCTGTTGAAGTTGTTTACATATTTAATACCTTCCCTTGGTCACAGCCACCTAGTGTCCTGTATCACCATCATATAAACCCCCTAATTGATCCATTGTACTCATTTATTGTAGATTCTTGAATCCTTTTCTGTGATATCCCTATGGAAGTTGGTCATTGGTACTTAAAGAGGGAATATACAGAACTCTTTTGGGATCGGAGGTTTTGTTTGGGGAGTTTTGTTTGTTTTTAAACAGGGTCTTGCTGTGTTGCCAGACTGGTCTTGAACTCCTGGCATCAAGTGATCCTCCTCCTCAGCTTCTTGAGTATCTGGGACTATAGGTACACACCACCATACTCGGCTCTTGAATGCTCAACTCTTTTTGAATCAAGAGTTACATTTTTCTCTGATCACAGGTGGCATTCTGAAACAAATCAGAATGAGAATACCCATTTGGGAAACTTGAACAGGGGTGAATCCTGGTTCCAAATGAAGTTAGGTATATTTAAAGGGACTTTTCTTGGAGTTCTGCCATTCTAACTCCTATTCATCTGATCCTGAAATTACAGACAGCACCATGCAAGGGAAATGGATCAGTGAAGTAGCAACAAATGGCATTTAGCACGACTTATGAGTTCATATGCAGTGTATAATTGAAAGTCGAAAGGTTGGTACCTAGAATCC